CCCCTTTTTTTTCCTAAATAAATAATTTAAATAACTCATACTTTACATATTAGTTACTGTGTATCCAAACATGAAGTATTATTTAACTTTCAAAAAATATTTGCAATCTATTTTTTAATGGAAATACTAATGCAGACACAGCATGCTTCTGGGGCCTACAAGAGCCAAACCCCAGCCTCCACCATGGCCCGCCAAAATGAAGACTGTATAGACATATGACAGAGGAATGAGGGAAGGTATTCACTCTTTGGCAGGCTAGGAATATCAATTTATGTAATCCACAGTCACTTCTTTCACACAGGACAGTATGCATCAACTGTGTTCTTGGAAGTACTCATAAAGTTCTCAGGAAAGCAGTCAGCTCTTTGGGACAGAAATCAAAAAAATTTTGCTTTAGATTTAGAGTGTGTCTGAAACAATGTGGCTTAGACCACCAGGGTGGCTCCTAGGACTCACTGGACTATTAGCCTCTCATGTTACAAAGAGAGATCTGCAACTTCCTCTTGAGTAAAAAAAAAAAAAAGGCAAAAACCCCCTCACCAAAACCAGTAGTAGATTTAAAAAACAGAAAAACAGTAACAAGTATTTACTCATAATAAGTAAGACTTTTTTTGTAAAGAAGTTAAGAAATATAATAAGAAAATGAGAAGTCTTTTCTGCTGAAATGTAGAAAGGCTACAGTGTAAATCAGGGTCAGATTTAACAATGCTTTAAAATCGGGCAATAAGGATTTTTAAGCTAGTTAGAGGTCACAGTAAATGCAAAAGACTAATTCTAAACACAGGCAAATCTCAAAGCAAACAATTTCTTCAATCAACAGGAACACATTCTGGGATTCCTGGAAATTCAGGAAGCCTATGATTGTAAGTGGAAACAACCACTTCAAGGATTCCTTGCAACAAAGAACAAGAGATGCTTTCCTTTGTTGAAGACATTTATTCATTCTGTAGGAAAACATTATCTACAAAGCAATTAAGCCATTACTATTTACTAATACTAACAAATAACTGTGCTTATTAATGATTAATACATATTCATTAATTACAATTCTTAAATAGTAAGGATGGATAAAAGAATAGATATAGATAATATGTAAATTATTAAATCTAAAAGAAATCATAGGGGAAGTGAACTCGCATTTAAAAACAAGCCTAGGCAGTAACACATACCGTATGCTGAAAGCACATGAGCATTTCAAAAGCTATGGTTAGGAATGAAAACCCATAAATTCTGCACTATGCCTTCCACAGTATGCTATTGGTATTTATATTACTACAGAACCTAAACAAAGATGAAATGAAAAAAATCTCATGGCTGCTGGTATTCCACAAAGGGAGACTTTAATAATCCCAACAGTTTGCGACCTACAGTAAGCACTGACACAAAATACGACATGTACCAGCCAATGGCACACAAGTCATTTCAAGCCATAGGCAGACAGTAGCTGCTGCTGTTTCAAGGGAGAAAGAGCAAACAAAGAGCACAGCATGGGATCAGCAGATTACTAGTCAGACTAGAACTAGAAACCCTCTACTGCAATTTATCTTTGCCCGAGGAGTGCACATTACTGAAGAGGTTTATAACAAGAATTGCTAACTTCAGCACTACCTACACTGAAGTGGTATTTGGCACATAGCTCCCGGTACTCAATTTTAGTGGCAGTAAAAAGAGCCCTGATTTGGATGGTACACTTGGCATGGTACAAAGAAACAAGAGGGTGTATGTCAAACGAAGATGGTGATTGCCAACTAACAATGCATCTAAGAAGTGTGTGTTTAAAGGCATCACAAGAACTATATTTAACCTAGAATTTACAGCTGAGGACAGGAGAAGCCAACAGATTCAGCCACTTTGCTTTCTTACTTCAGGTTGCTCCCGCTTCCGGAGGGTGAATGACTATTCCCAGAGATTTGTCCTCCGATATAGTAGTCTAGTCAAGCCTTCTCCAATCCTCAGCATATCCGAGCCCTTCTCATGCCCAGAGGGAATAAAGGGAGAGAAACTGACAGAGAATTGTTTAATTGTACCTTTGATCTTTAAGTTTCATTCTAGGTGGTTTTTTACAAGAAAATAGTTTGGTTTGAATCCTGACATTTCAGTCATAGTTACAAATTACTTAATTTCAACAAACACAAATCTTGGAAGGGCTAAATCAGTGCCTGAGTTGGACTCACTGGAAAGGTCTTCTGACCACATATCAATTTTAAATTAATGGGACACAGTTACTGTATATAATAGAAGACAAAACACATGTGTAGTAGAACAGAAAGTTATTTTAACAGCCTCTCACACAATTAAGCTGTTGCAAAAACCTTTTATGAAAGCATTCAGGTTTCTTAAAGAGAAACCTAAGGTATTTTTAGATGAAAGAACCTAAAAAATATCTGGTTTAGGCTCCAAAAACCTAAATCACTACATGATGGTCCTTGTATTGTTACTGGCAAGAAAAACACATCAAGCAATGGACAAAATGACAGTACAGGCACAACATTATATTCAAAGTCACATGACTAGTCAAAGGTATTTGCCTTCAGAGTTTTAAGACAACAGCAGCAAAGTTCTCAAAGGAACAACTACATTAGAATAAAATGTTGTACTTGGCCACCTCTGAAACTTGTTTTGAGGTCTGTACAAGCAACATGCCTCCAAACTAAGCTAGTGTTCAGCCAATAGGGGAAAAAGAAAAAAAAAAAAAAAAAGAAAAAAAAAAAAAAAAAAAAAAAAGGAGAGAAGTGTGACTAAAGATTTGAAGATTTATCAAGAAAGGTACGTGTCTACTCTGAACTACAGTATCAACTATACTTGACAAAAAAACCCCACCCCTAAACCATTCTTCAAAAAATATTACTCCAATACATTAAGAAAAAAAAACCTAATAGCATATAATAGCCCATGACCTGTTCAATATATTCTATTCCAAAACACTGAAATACTGGAAGAAATACTAGAAAGTTTATGATATGAAAAGTGTTTTTTTTTCATGTTACCATGTATAGAAGCTAGTACTGTACGTGAAAATACCCGAAAGACCCAGAATGTCTTAAATTCTTCTTAATTCAAAGTTAATAAAAGCTTACGCAGTCAGCCCCAGCTATACAAAATGCATGAAAGCCAATAAACTGATAGCCATGTCCTTCTCTGAGCTGCCTGAAGCACATACAAATTGTTCGCTTTGAGCTTCTACCCATGAGGTGCTGAACATTTTCGTCCTGACCTAGTAATGCACTTGAATTATTAAATCCTTAA